GGCTGCTGGCCGCTCACGCTGGCTGCTGGCTACATACGGTAGCCCATGGCAACCCACTGCCACGGGGGCTGCAGCCTACACTGCTGCCGGCGACTCAGGGCAGCACAGCTCCAGGTTGAGCTGTTGTTCAGCATCTTAGCTGTGGAGGGCAGTGTCACTGACCCTCATATGTGGGATCCGAACCGGGCCCTCTGGCGTCCCAAGCCAGTTCTTAACCATCATGCCACTCGGCCGGCCCTAGGTGGTGGTTTCTGATGACATTTGTCCACAAATGTCACTTAGGGATGTTGTAACATGAAGGCATCCCTCATCTTAAAGATTAGTGAAGAGGAAAGTCTTTTGATGTGTATATTCAGATACGGTGCTATTGTGTGTGCAGCTGCAAAGAACACTGTGCTCCCAGTAGTTCCCACAACAGATGTCTGAAAGGTTGGCTTCCTGAGGCAACCACAGCAGCTGTTCACAGTGGTTTGGTGTCTTCTGCTTAGACTTGGTGACTCTCACCCTCTGCTCACCGCATTCCCAGTCATGTCTGCTGGGTGGATTGGTTCATTCCAGTCATAGCCTAGGAGTCACTTATTTGAAACTATTTCAGAAAGTCTTAGGGATCCCACCTTCACACCATAAGTTACTATGCTTATGAGTAAGTAAGCCACTTACTTTGCTTGCTGTAGTACCCGTGTTTGTCCTCTCCAATGGAGAATCCTAGTTCTTGGTAGCTCCTCTCATTCTGATGTTGCTGGGGCTCCTTATGAAGCTGGACGTCCTGTCTTTGGTCTCATTGACATTATTCCTTTCATCTGTTTTGAAGTTTGATGCTACTTTGTTAATAGTGTGGACACTGGCTACAGTAGGAACTTTTATATCGTATCCAATTGAAACCCTTGCAATAACTCAATGAAATGGGCCTATGATCCCCATTTTACAGGTGAGGAAATTGAGGCTGGGAGAGATTGAGTAGTTTTCTTAACTTCATGCAAGTTCCTGGCACATTTTGAATTTTAACCGGGAACTCTGCCTCTCAGTTGTGTCCACTTCCCTGTTATTCCACTTTGTGCCTCTCTGCCAGCATCCCTGAGGCACACTGCATCCTAAGTCCATTTTCTGCTTGATGGTAGTCAGCTTATACAAACAGGTCTTGGGCAGGGGGTTGAACTAACTGCTTGGCCTTTCATGTTCTCCAGGTTACCATTGGTAGGTTTACTGAGTAAGCTGGAACAGCGATCTGAACGATTTATTATCACATAAAAATAATCCATTAACTTTTTGCAGGTGTGATTTTTTTTTTTATTGTCTTGTCTTAATTTCTCCTCTGGGCTCTTTGTCTTACAGGTTCGTGCTATGCACTAACATACAATACAAACATTGATGAAGATAATACTGTTGCCCTGCTGCCAAATGGTAACACCACTCAGTTTTTTTCTTTTTTGTTTAATTATAAAAGACATACTGTAAAAAAAAAAAAAGAAAACAAATCATACAGATGTATATAAAGTGAAGGTTCACCCCTTTCATCCCCATTCCGCCAAACTCTCTTCCTTTCTCAGAAGGGACTGGTGTTAACAGGTAAATGTCCATTCTTCTAGACATTTTCTGTGAATTTATAAACACTCGTAAAGGTGCTTCTTTTCTGTAAACAAATTACATCATATATTGTTTCTCAATTTGCTTTTTTCCTAAGCTTTATATAATAGACATTTTTCCATATCAGTGCATATAGTTCTAATTTACTATTTTTAATGTCTTGAAGGTATCCCAAAGAAGGGGTATACAATGGCTTATTAATTCCCTTCTTTAGTAGAAATTTAGATAAATTTCTAGTTGCAGTATTGTAAATAATAACTTTGTATGTATAATGTATAAACAATACCTTTGTATTATAAATAAGATATATGCATTTATAAGTAATATCCTTATATTAATAAATAAGATCTTTGTATGCAATTTATTGCACTGATACCTAACTGCTCAATTTGCCTTGCTTTCTTTTAGTCAGTGAACATAAGTCATATTTTTGACATCTCTTTTATGAGAATTATTATTTAATTTATAGGGAAACTAATTTTATCACTGGATAAAGACACTTATGAAGAAACTGGACTTCAAGGTCATCCATCTCAGTATTTTGGCAGAAAAATAATGAAATTTAGTAAGTATTATGTTTGCTCTAACAGTTTCTAACAAGGTAGTAATCTTGTAGCAATGTAAATTTAAATGTTTGGATTGCCTCTGTTCTCACTGTTCAGAGAAAGTATGGGTTTTTCTTGTATTTAAAGCTTCTGACTCAAGGGGCTCTTGGTTGGACCTAAGAGATAAGATAAGATAATGCTGTTGTGCCTATTTCTCTTCAGCTGTAGGCTGCGTCTTATAAAGATCATAGAATTGAATGGTCCATTAGATATTTATGTTTTGGGTCAAAAATTCAAAATAATGAACCCAAAGTAAAAGTCTACAACTTGTTCTTAATAACAAATTGCCTTTGGTTTTCCTAAGTCTCTGTGATTACAAGTAGAAATTTACTTCTGAATGAAGGGATGTGGGTCTGCTAGCAGTATCTGGCTTGAGCATCCAGTAGTGAAGGCTGCTGCATCCATACTTAGAGTTGACCTCCCAAAGACCTCTGCCCTAGGTCTTTGACCTAGGAAAATATGAATTAAAAACATTTTTTATTAGCTCTCAATGCTAGAAATGCCCATTAAAGGCAAAGTTTTGATTTGGTAATCCAAAAAGAGTGCAAGAACAAAATAATTTTTACTATCCATAAAGTTCCCAAAAATTCTGATTCTTTTAATATAACACTTTTTCCACAGTGCAAACTATGTATATATGAATGAAATATTTATTCCTCTTTTCATTTTTTAAGTTATTTCCATTGATTTGATGGACTTATCCTTTAAGCCGGATTCTAAGAAGTATCAAAGAATATCTTGGTCCTTCAAAGAAAAGAAGCCATTGAAATTTGATTTTCTTGTGGCTTGGCATCATACAGGTATGAAGATAAATTATGAGATAATTAGTTATTTTTGAAATCTAATTGTTAATTAAAGGGGAATAATGGAGAATTGAATAATTCCCTATGGTCAGGGATAGTATGTACATATACGTGTAAACATTATTAAGGAAGCAGCTTTTGCCCCTCTGACACCGAGAACCATAGTTCAGGATGCTCTATGTATGCAGCCATCTGCCTCCATGTCCTTGGGTTATATGTAGATCCAGAGAGCTTGAGAGTGGCTGCAGAGCAGCTAATGTTTATCTGTTTCTCCCCTTCCTTCCCCAGCTTATCTTAAACAACCTTGGATGTAATGTTTTAAAATAATACCAACTATAGTTATATATACAAACTTCTTATTCATTATTGCACAGTAATAATCAGGCATACCAGTAAAGGTTAGATTAAATTTGTTGCAATTTTTAATTGATTAGAACACTAAATTTAATTCAAAGTTTCATGGCCACCAAACATATTAATCTACTGTATTTGCCGGCGTATAAGACGACTGGGCGTATAAGATGACCCCCTAACATTTCCACTCAAAATACAGAGTTTGTTATATACTCGCCGTATAAGACTCCCCCTCTTCCGCACCCCTTCCACACACCAAATAAAAGGTAAAACAATATCAGATTTGATTTCAACATTTTAATTTATATTCAAATGCTTATGACATGCAGGAAAACTGTCACAAGGCTGTATGTAATCAAACATATACATAAAACAGTGCAAGTTTATTACCGGTAAACATACCGGTAATTCACTAAAGAAAACACACTCTATAGACTGGTACCGTAGATTTTGCGAGTGTGGTAAAATCGCATAACAGCAAAATCGCATAACAGCCGAGCATACACCCAGCAGCGCTGCTGATGCCTGAACGGTATGTGGAATGAAGTGGGCGGGCATCGGGAGGCCACTATGGCATGGGGCAAGCACTATGGGCAGTCTATCTGAAGTGTACCTGGCGTATAAGACGACCCCCCACTTGGAGGCATATTTTTCAGGGCCAAAAAATCGTCTTATACGCCGGCAAATACGGTACTTAACAATTGCCATTGCCTTATCCTTTTAGAAAGGTGTTTTTGGCCCATCGCAAGATTATAATGAATCTGATCATCACAACTCTGATGGTGTAGTACTCTCTCTTTTGGAGACTAGGGAAGCACATAGGTCCATTTTGGAGATATGCCCATCTGTCTTTCCCTCATGGGAAATTCCTGGTCACTGAGTGCTCCAGGTTGCTTGAATGAGTCCTGGGTATGTAATAATTCAGTGCTTCTCCTTCTACTTATGGTAGAGATGCAAGAAGGCAGAGAGGTGGACTGACATTCTAGTCACATGAAGTCTTCATTGAGGACCATCTGTGCATTGGGTTCTGGAGGGCTCTGTGTTCCTAAGATTCCTAATTATTTTTAAGAGCTTTTCAGGAACTATGAAAGGTGAGATTTTACCCTAGTGGCAGGCTAAGAAGTTAGCCTGCACAGTCTCATGGATACTGGCAGAAGACATGAAACTCCTGGGTCAAAGACAAAAGACTTACAAGTTGTGATAAAAAAATATGGTGAATGTTTAAATTAAAAAAAAAAATTATTACAGTAAAACACTCATTGACATTAATCCCTCTCAAAATACTCCCCCTCGCTTCGAACACACTTGCCCCATCGTTCTTGCCACTTTCTGAAGCAGTTCTGGAAAACCTCTTTCATGAGTGTCTTTAGTTGTGCTGTGTGGCTACCTTAATGTCCTGAGTCGATTCATGTTTACCTTTCGTGGTCATTTTGACTTTGGGAAAGAGCAGAAGTTGCACAGTGCCAGATCCGGTGAATAAGGTGGATGAGGACACCATAATGTTTTTATTTGACAGAAATTGTCATGTACCAGAAGCGATGTGTGACACAGAGCATTGTCATGATGGAGGATGATGTAAAGAGGACTTCCAGAACTGCTTCAGAAAGTGGCAGGAACGATGGGATAAGTATGTTCGAAGTGAGAGGGAGTACTTCGAGGGAGATTAATGCAATGTGTCTCTTACTGTAATAATTTTTATTTTATTTAAACATTCACCAAATCTTTTGATCACACCTCGAAATTTCTCACAGAAGTATCAGTGGCCAGAATCTCAGCACTTGCACCAGTTCACCAAGTCCTAATTCCTACAGGGTGGGCCAGGTAATGCTCGCCCATGATAGTACAATGGGTTATGTTACAGGAGAGGAACCTGGAGCTTAAGGAACTCAAATCTTTTTTACTGGTCAGTAAACCTTCTGACCTTTGCCTTAGAGGAAGGTAGGGAGACATTACTTATATTAGACTAGACAGTAAGCAAGCCTGCTTTTTGCTCCAGAGGGGACCACTGTTTCTGTCATCCAAGGCTATTGGAAAATCCTTGAAGATCCATTGGATTATTGGGATTACAAAGACAGGCTTGAATGAGATTCTGTCATTCAGTTCCTTTCCCATCTCCTTTATAGTGATTGTGCAAATATGCTCCTCTTTCTGTAGAATTCACTAATTTTATTTGTACATAAGTAGTGCTTTTGGTTTTATTAAGTAGAAATTTTCTTATTACAGCAAATGATGAAACTAGTATGGGTTGAATCTGATGGGATGGGGTAGTTTTAGGGATTCACGGAATCCCTAAACAATATGTAGTTGTAATGTAATCCCATTGTAATATTCTAATGGCCTTATATGGTTTGTTTTAAGGTGTAGAAGAATCGATGATGTCATACTTTTCCAATTACCAAATTCAGGAGCATCAGCCAAAAATAGCAGTGAGAACGGTGGCAGATCTGCATTGCCCAGTGCTGCAGAGCAGTGAGCTCAGGGGAAAGCCGGAGGTGTCGTGCAGTGCTGGGGAGCTCCTCGACTGGCTGGGCGCCGTCTTCTGTAACGCTGAATTGTGCGTATGAGAGCTCCTGCATCTCGTAGGGCTCTGGCTGCCTTCTTGTTTTTAATAGGGGCTTAGTACTTTGAAAGTGATTATATGCTGGATATAAATATGTTTTCTCTTCTTTTTTTATGACAGGAATAATGAGCCTAATAATTTCATATCGACTTATTGTTGTCCTCAGCCAAGCACAGTGGTAGCAAAAGCTTATTTGTGCACAATCACTGGTTTCATACTTCCAGAGAAGATATGTCTCCTGTTGGAACAGCTGTGGTAAGAACACCTTTAGCCTTTTATATCTTGCTTGTCTGTGCCAATATGAAATTTTAGGAACAGTGCTACTGCTCTAAATTTCAGGATCCTCTCACATTTCCCTTTTTTTTCTTGCTGGGGCTCATAATATAGTAACATTATCATCTTAAATGACATAATTATCCTTGGTAATAGGAAAATATCGCCACGTACTTGGCCTTATGAAAAGACAAAGAGCAGAGCTTAACTGTGCGTCTTGAAGATAAACTCATTTTTCTTGCTTCCCCGGACCATTTTGGTGCAGTTGAAGTTACAGTGTCACTTAAGAAAATAGCAATACTCTGTGGAAGACATTATGATCTCTTTTAAATATTGGAGTTCTGCAAAATGTTTAATTTTGAAATGGGGTGCAAAAAAGGAGTTGACCATCTCTGAAGCCACATCATATCTAGGATCTGTTCCAGCTCTAACATCCTGTGAATCACTGGCATTAGTATGCCAAGGATTGTATAAAGTAGTATTAGTTTTTTATTTTGGGAAGTATTGTAGAAATAAAATGCTAAATTGTATCTAATGTCAGAAAACTCAAATCCCATATTGAAAAAACTACAAAGTAAGAATAGTGTTTGTTTTCTTAGACTTCACTTTGAAAATGTCTAAGATTGATGTCTTGAGGGTTTTCCTCTTTAAACGCAGCATTCTTTTTCACATTTATTAATTTATACTTTGATTTTCCTCAATAAGAAGGTCGAATTTTTAAAAATCTGATAAATTATTCTGCAGTGTTTTACTTAACAGAGACTCTGAAAACAGCACTATGAAAGGGAGGGAAACAATCCTTATACACTTTTTTGTTCTTTGAATCCTACATGATCTTTCACAATGAGGGCAGGAAAAGCTAAAGTTTTGTATATTTGATATTGGTTAACATTTACTGAATTCACAATATAACATCAGGAATTTAATTTGCATCTCCTAGTTTTTATAAATAAAACCTAAGGTCTAAGCTTCATTAGAACACCAGAAATATCTCTTATCCTAAGTAAGTACAAAAAATCTGAACATTCCTAAGTCTCCCTGTTTGTTAAGAATTTTTATTCTTTTTCAGTCACTACTTTGATGAACCAAAATTAGCTCCTTGGGTTACGTTGTCAGTTCAAGGCTTTGCAGACAGCCCTGTTTCCTGGAGAGAAAATGAACATGGTTTTCGAAAAGGAGGAGAACATTTATACAACTTTGTGATATTTAATAATCAGGACTATTGGCTGCAGATGGCTGTTGGGGCAAATGATGACTGTCCACCATAAAAAATACAGAATTTATAATCATGTTTGTTTATGTATATGCTTTTCAGATTTCTGAATGGTAAAAGGACTGTGTGTTCACTCAGGCTTGTATGATGGTGTCATATATTAAATAAGCATCTGTTAGCATTGTGCCCTGGACTTGTGTCCCATCCTGTGACTGCCGCTGGGCCTGTCATCCAGCGAATTGCTCACAGTTGACTTCTTCCTGTCAATATAAGCACAGGGGTATGGCTTACTACATGGTAGAGTGGGCCAGGGACCAGGGGTTATGGGACCATGTTACTCAGGCATTTGATTACTTTTTCACATAATAAAAAGATATCCTCATATCATACTTACCAGAGCCAGCCCCTGTTTTAGTGTTCATATAGTACCTTATTTATTTCTCACATGAATCCTACAAGGAAACAGGCACAGAGTATAAATAAGCTATCGACGTCATACTGCTTTGTGGACCTGAGACTTGATCTCAGGTCAGCTGGTTCCTGAGTGTGTGTTCTCACTCGCCTGCCTCTGGACCAGAAGGGATATCTGAATACTATATATTGTTAAAGAACAAGTTGAAAGAATTTTTTTTTCCAGCTGTATGGCTGGTAAGGACCAGCTTAAGACAACTAAAACTTTTGGAATACGTAGCAAAAACCACTATTTAAAATGTATCAATAAGCTGCACATAAATTCTCAAAGAATAAATAAATAAATTTTAATGGAAATAGAATCCTAAAGATGTAACTAGGGCATTGATGCCACTTTTTACACTTAGGATCTTGGCCAAACGTCAAATCGAACTTTGCTTTTCACAGCCTGGGGTGGGGCCAGGGGCAGTAGTATAGCAGACAAAGCTGAGGGCCTGCCCAAGGTAGGAGGACTAATAGGAGACCTCATAAAGTTGAGACCCCAAAAAAATACTTAGAGTACGGGTCAACCATGAATAAGCCTGTCTGCGTCCCCGTCACCTCCCTTGTTCCCCAGGACAGGAAGGAAGATTGCTTGTCCTGAGAAAAAATATCTCCCCTGAGATTATATATATATCCATCTCCTCTGAGATACATTTGTGTGTGTATATACCCATCCACAAGCAGCCCTTAACCTGGTTTGTTCACACAACCTGGGTAGTCTTAAAAAGTCTCAAGCTGGAAATCTTTGTTTCCCTTTCCCTTTCCCTTTCCCTTTCCCTTTCCCTTTCCCTT